AATCCCCTAGCTCAAAAACGGATCAGCAGAAAATATGAAAAAAGATCACAACTTATGCTAATAAGTTCCTCGTTAGCATATTTTCTGCCTCAAAAACTCATAGTGTAGACATAGCCTCTGGGTCGACGGGGGTCAAACAGGGAAACTGGATAGAAGCTGTGTTTGTGTTTTGGGAATATAAGTGAAAACACTCTGATGGGATGGAGAGCAGTTTGCCCCATACTTACTTTCCTGACTTTGCTCTGTAGGTCAGTCATTTGTTTGTTAGGCCTTGTCTACACTGGGGATTCAGCATTGGGTGCCTGATCACTGGCATAGCTGCAAGCCCCTCTTCTAGATGGGAAAAGTACTTCTGCAGTTGACTCCAGTTTCAAGCAGGGGTAAGCTCAGGGCTGGCCTTACCATGAGGAGAACTGAAGCGGCCACCTCAGGTGCCAGACTGGGGCGGGGGGAGCGCCACTAGGACCCAGAGTGTAGAAAATTGTCAGCTGCTGGTGCATATGTGCATATGGGGGCGTCATTTGAGCTCCCCGCCTCAGGTACCAAAATGTTATGGGCTGGCCCTGGGTAAGCTACCCCTTAGTAAGCCTGGACATGGATGGTAGCATACTGCTGCCACTACAAGAGTAAGAACTCTGGATATTATGCCTAGCTGTTGAGAAGGAAAGGATTTCTAGTTCCCTATTTCTCAATACTGGGCATGTAAACCAGACCTAATGAACACTTGTATCAAATAATAGCGTGATAAGGCAATGATGCGTAACACTTACCCACTGCCATGCTGGAAGGCGGTTTCTACACATGCTTAGTTCTGTAGAGTTCATTTTCTACTCTACTAGTTTTGAAAATAACATTTCTCTCCACACCAAGAACCTAGCACGCTACCTCGGGCTGCTACACGCTGTCGATGTTTAACCACCTGTGTTCCTGTTCACCACTTCCCTGTCCCGATAAGCTCTGGTTAGAACAGGTCCCCTCACACTAACCATGCTGTGAAGCGCCTTCGAGGCACAACTGCTGTATCGTCAAGGCCCAGACCTTGACTTTTGCTTGTTTGAACGTGATTCTCTTTTCCTCCCTCAGTAAGCTGCTCAGGCAAGGTCAATCCCTCTGGTCTGAAGTCAGCTTGAACTGGATTTCTACAATCCAAAGCATGCGCTAGTCACTGGTGAATGTTTAAATGCGTAAATAGGCTAAAGAGCATGTGGAAGTTGCTTTTCCTAGAGTCACCGAGTTTAAGGCCGGAAGGGACCGTTCGATCACCTAATCTGGCCTCCTGTGTTACGCAGGCCCTTAAGTTTCACCCAGATCCCCTTATACCAAGCTTGTCATTTGAATGTTTCTGTCTTGGTATGAAATATGATTCTTATCTCTCCAAAAGTCTATGATCTGCATTGCTACCGGAGGCAGGGAGGGAGAGAGGAGTGAAGCTTTTTCAGTATTGATGTGTCATTTCAATTTGTATTGGGGCTGTTCAATAGTGCATCATGAGGCACCAGGCAAACCGTTACATGACTGTGACCCAAAACAGTGAAACCACCCTGAAATAGACAGCGTAAAGCAAAACTCAGATAAAATGCTCATTGGCCACATAACATAGCCATCAGCATGTGTTCTCAGCCTTTCCCCGCCCATGTCTTTCCCTCTCTGGTGTGCTGGTGGGGCAGTGCAATGCTACAATCCAGCCCTTAATTGCTGTGTGTTGCAGGGTCCTGTTTATAAAAGGTCAACTGTACCTTTATAAAGCTCTCCGGAGAGCCCCCAGAAGGGCTAAAGCTGGGCAAAGTCGTTATTCATTCTGAGCCGCTAGGGCACGCATGGCAACAGAGGTGAAATCATTTGCAACTGGCTATGTAAGTGCTAGAGGCAGCGAGCCGACTGAAGTAAGGAGTACTCCTTTAAACTATGGACAAGGCACAGAAGGCCAGTCTTTCAGGATTAATGTCTTGCTGGGAAAAGGCTGATTTAGGTTAGGAACCTTGCTTAGTACTTGGTTCTCATTGTTGCTGTTATAGGGAATGATAAACAGTCTATACTGATTAGGTGGAATTAACAATTGCATATTAATTAATTACCACTAATTAAACAAACATTGTTAACAATCAAATGTATCAGTAATTATTAATAGTGGCCACATATAATTAGAACAAGCCAAACTGTGGCACCCTCACATGCAAATTTTGCATTGGCTTCCAGGAGGCTAATTGTGGTTTACTACAATGTGCTGTTTAATGGGACGGAGGTATCTGGCCTCTAAGAAGCATGTTGATAGCAGATTCTGCCCTGGGCTGCACACAAGCGGTGAGAGCTGAGGCGGCATATCTGATGGTAAGCACGAGGCACTCCTGAAGAATGAATGCGCTATGCTGCAGCCAGCCAGGCTGCATGAGTCATCCACTCTCAGCATTCCACTCGGCCGACAATGTTTTTATTACCACGGTGTGTTGCAGCAGCAATTTTTCTAGTATGCTCAAAATAGGAGCTTTAGGTGAGAATGCAGAACAGACAATGGAGCAAAACAGACAATGTTGACTCTAAGGGCAGTATTGCATAAAGATATTCAGCCCTCTCTGCCCTCTATAGGTAGTGGCCTCCCTGTCAGGCCTGCTGTCTGGGGTAACCAAGAGCTCCTGCAGTTCTCTTTTCTTGTCTGGGCCTGTGGGTCTGAAACTTATTTAATCTCACAATATACCAGTCTTCCTTCTCCACCGTGGCTAACGGAGCTGGGCATTTAGGAGCCATTGCTCTCCAGCTGCAACATAACTTAGGGCAAAATCTGGACTGAAGAACAGCTATGTTCTCTCAGCTCTCCAACCTGTGGTGCCTTTTACCCTGCTTCTCTGTGAAAGCAACCTCTTGGCTTACTCATACACAGTCTCTAGAGGTGGGTCATTGTGTATCTTATCCATCTCTGATGAACTGGTATATGAATTGTAACATCATATCATAGAATCATAACTTTTTACATGCAGTAGTGTCACACATATTTTAACTGGACAATAATGTTCAGCAGATTATGAGTTTTTCAACTAATACCTCATAAAGCTTACGATGTATAATCCTTATTATAGTCTTATAAAAAGTGTGAATATGTGGGTACATGTATGTCACACAAGCTCTGAAGGCATCTCTGGCACCTGCAACAGTGGAGAAATATGACAGTCCTGGTATGGTATTCCCACCCTTGTTTATCTGCTGCCATTGGCAGTGGTGCTGCCTTTTGAGCTGGACATTCAGGGTATGTCTACACTGCACAGTTATTTTGGAATAAGCTATTCCGGAATACTTATTCCGAAATAGTTTATTTCGAAATATCACATCTTCACTCCAGGGTAGCCTCAAAATGAGTCAGAGGCAGGCTTCCCTAATGTAGATGTGCTATCTCGATTTAGAGCCCCAGGAGGAATAATTTAGAATGACCCTGATGAAGGGCTATATTGAAATAGCAGCAGTGGAGCGTCTACACGTGCCTTATTTTGAACTAGCTATTTTGGAGTAGGAGTTGCTCTTCACAGAATGAGGTTTACAGAAGCTGGAATAAGCCGTCCATTATTTCGAAATTATTTCAGAATAACAGAATGGCTGTGTAGACGCTCACATAGTTATTTTGGAATAACAGATGTTATTCTGAAATAACTTTGCTGTGTAGACACATCCTCAGAGAGCAATGGTTGCTGGCCAGACACCCAGCTCTGAAGGCAGTGCTGTTGTTAGCAGCAGCGCAGAAGTAAGGGTGGCATATTGCTGTGGGTAAAATGTGCATAATTCCCCCTCCTCCACCCCAAAAGCTACTCACACCCTCTACAACACATTCTATGCTCCCTCAGGGGGATGTGCCCCCCCAGTTTGAGAACCTATGTTTTAGGCTGTTCAGGCTATGTCTAGACTACAGGCTTCTTGTGCAAGAAGTTTTGTGGAATACAGCGTCCATACTGCAAAAGCGCATCGGAAAAGCAATGCTCTTTTGCGCACGAGAGCATTCAGACTGCCTGGATGCTCTCTTGCAAGTAAGCAGTGATTGCTATGGACAGAATGGCCACCGGGGCACCTGTTCGTTTTCCTCTTTCCTCTTCTTGTGCAAAAGAACACCTCTTGCCCGTCGACACACACCGTTTTTGCTCAAAAACTCTGTTGTGTAGACCTAGCCTCACTGACCCAGAATGAGAGATTGAGGAGGAATGCTTTCTGCCATGTTAACTAGAAGAGGGAATTGAAAGGCTGGAGTGATGTGAACCTATATAAGCATATAGAGTCTATAAAAACTTGGATGCAAATTCCTTATGTCAACTGTTAGGGTACATCTATACTGCATGCTTATTTTGAAATAAGCTATTCCAGAATAGTTATTCTGGAACAGCTTATTTCAAAATCATTCCAGAATAGTTATTCTGGAACAGCTTATTTCGAAATCACACGTCTATACTACAGAGAAGCCTCAAAATGAATCCGAGGCAGGCTTCCTTAATGTAGATGTACTATCTCAATTTAGGGCCCAAGAAGGCACTGGGGAGGAATAACTTAGAATGGCCCTGGTGAGGGGCTATTTCGAAATAGCAGCAGTGGCACATCTACACTCGCCTTATGTTGAAATAGTTATTTTGGAATAGGCGTTATTTCTCATCGAATGAGGTTTACAGATTTCAGAATAAGCTGTCCGTTATTTAGAAATTATATCGAAATAATAGAATGGTTGTGTAGACGCTGGAATTGTTATCTCAAAATAACAGTGCCCTGTAGACACACCCTTAGTGAGTGAAGGTGGCAGCATATATTGCAACAGTGCAGTGTAGACGCACCCTTAGTGAGTGAAGGTGGCAGCACATATTGCGGGTAAAGTATTTTCTCCTAGACTGACAATAAAATGTTAGACTTGTCAGTCCCATACCCTCACTGGGTGATCTTCATGCAAGTCACGTGCAAGCAAACATGCATGCCATTTGACTACTGATTTGCAATAATTTTATTAATTAAAAAAAATCAAAGACATCACAGTTGTTAGAATGTAACATATAATGTAACTTATAAATGTAAAATGTAACTTATATTTACACTGAATTTTCTAGTTATAGAATAAGAGATTGGTACATAGGATTAGCATCAAGTGCAGTTTCCTGCTTCTAGCCAGGGCTGAGAACTATTGCTTCAGAGGCATGCAAAGGAAAATAAAGCAACTAGTTCAGATCTATCTCAAATCAATGTAAATAAGGAGTAACTTCACAGAAGTCAGTGGGCTAGATCCTCTGCTAGTGTAAATCTGCATCGTTATATTTTCTAGACCGACAATTACTTACACTGGGAGAGGACTTGTTCCAGTGAATTTGCATTGTTGCCAAGTGGGGGGGAGAATCAGGCATATAATTAATTCCCTCCTGAATCTTGCAGTTATGCAGTATTTACCCTGGAGCATGAGAATTTTAACTTACAGCTTATATGGTTATTAATTATCATAAAAATTATCCAGATGATTTTGAAGTCCAGCCCCAGTGTCTGACCCTAACCTCCTTCAGCTGTGAGTTCCACAGGTTGATCAAAGCCTCTATGAAATAGTTTCACCCACATCATTATATTTTTACATAATTAAACAGGACATATAGGTGTAACATACCCACAGTAATAAATAATAATGAACATTTTAAAAGTAAAGCTGAAAACAGTGCCAAAAAGTCCAGATACAAAATGGAATGATTCTCAGTCAGCTCTGCCCTAATGTTGAATGGATTTTGAGACGCCCATGTTAGTTCAGAGACTTTATTTCCAATTAACACCTAGAAGAGGTTACAGTCAGCTGCCGAGGATTTGGCTGGTGGAGCCATTTAGTTAATTGCCTTTGGACGTGGGCTTGGGTTTAGGTTTAGGTTTGTTCTTGTTGTTCTTGTTCTTGGGTTTGGGCTTGAGTTTGGGCCTTCTGGGAATAGGTCTTTTATCCAGGTGTCTTATGGCATCCTTCACCCATTTAAGATCAGGCTGAACACAGATCTTGATGCCTTCTTTGGTGATGAACCTGCAGGGGAAGACAAGGAAAGCCAGGCTGCCATTAAAATTCTTCTCTCCAAACCAAGACCTTGTGTGCATGTTTCTATTCTATGGCATATGTGATATAGGGTGCATCTATACTGCAGTGCTAGCTCGAAATAAGTTATGCAATTTGAGCTGCACAAATTGCATAACTTACTTGGAGCTTATTTTGAGATAGTCTACTTTGAAATTTGGCACTGTCTACCTAGTGCCAAATTTCAAAATAGACCGCTATTCCAACAGGTCCCTTAATCCTTGTGCAATGAGGTTTACCAGGACATTGGAATAGTGTGCCCATTATTTTGATTATATTTCAAAATAATGGGTGTGCTGTCAAGACACAGAAAACGCTATTTTGGGATACTGGATGTATCCCGAAATAGTGCTGCGGTAGAGATGTATCTGTAGTGTGGTACAAAGGGTGTGTCTACAGGCATTTGACACGGTTGCATCACTAAAGAGTTGCAAAGCCAGGAATGAACTGGTTCTGCTGTATGGACATCAGTGCTACACACGTGGGTGGGTGGGTGGCTATAGATCTAGATCTAGATAGAGAGTGTATTCCTTTGCATACATAGCATATTCTATATAGCCAGAAAGATGAAAAGAGCTAAAGCATCTGGCATGTAGAGCACTTTTGAAAATTTGGCCCCACATTTATCCCACAAGAACTAAAATTAAATGGATGGTCATGAATCTGAAAGACTGATTGCATCCTCTAATCACCCTGAGCCCTCTGTGTGAGTTTCCTCTTATAGCTCATTTCAATGCCCCTCACTGCTGATTGACAGCACCCTTTGCTATGCCACAGCGTGCCGCTTGACACGGCTCTTCCTCTTTGTGAGATTTCCTCCCAATGCCTTGATCAAAAAAGTTTGTCCATTCAGTCGGAATCGGGGCTGCTCTCCTGACTAGTACAAACCCTCCAGGCCTTTGGAGGCTCATCCCCTAACAGTTACCACATGCTAGAAATAAGACTGCCCTTTGCGGGGCTGGTCAGGTTTAAGGCCCTTGGTCTTGCTGAGGATCAGGTCCACCCCTGCTCTTTCTCTCCTGCTAGCAGCAGCAAGTGTCTCTAGCCTTGTTTGAAGAGTTGGCCCAGATACTTACATCACAGCTTTTACTGGTACGTTATGCTTCTCATATCTATCAAGTCCTCTGATGTCCAGCTGCTGCGTTGACAAGTCTATACAGGAGCTTCTGGGTGCGATTTGGCTTGCAACACTTCCTACAGGGGGGAAAATAGATGGTAAGCTAATGCTAAATGAACAGTCATTCTGCACAGTAACTGGAAATGAGTGTTACATTACAATGGAAATGTACTCCCTGTGATCCTTTTCCTAAGTATGCTTCTTACATAGGAGCTAAACAACCAAACTCTTGATCATCTGAGACCATTAAAAAGCCAAAGAGATTGTGGTAAGAATAAATGTCTTGGTCAAATTCCAATGTGGACAGTAATTGCATTCTGCCTTCCTAAATTGCCTCTGCAGTTTTAGTTGTGTTCATTGCTCTTCTGTCATGTAGCAGTGCTTGGCTATCAAGGAGCAGGGTTCCCAGAGATGACTTTGTTTCATTGGACACAATCTGTGCACATAAAGTATCTAAAGCATTTGGGGATCTTTTGGAATGAAAGGTTCTGGATAGACACGCAATACTTTAATTAAAAGTGGGAAGGTGAGCACGTGTGTGCCTCTCAAACACCTTCGCCCAACTTTAATTAAAAGTGGGAAGGTGAGCACGTGTGCCTCTCAAAGACCTTCGCCCCGAGCTAGATGGGTATCACATTCTACAAGTAGGTGTGTGCATGTAACAACACTGAGTTGGTACTTGCATAGCATCTTTCCCTGGGAGGATCTCAAAGTTCTTTACAAAGGAAGATCTGTGTTACCATCCTTGTTTTACAGATGAAGAAATTGCAACACTCTGATTTAGGGTATCAAACTTGAGACATTCTGGGTCTGATTTTCAGAGACGCTGAGTATCCATAAAAGCCACTGAAGCACCGAAACACCCAGGCAACCAGCAAAAATGGCCACTTTTGAGAAAGTAAGTGAAAGAAGCAGAGTGGAATTACAACTTGGGGACCCTGAGCCCTAGTCTATACTAGGGCTTTATTTTGAAATACCCCCCCTTAGGTCGAATTTATAAACGGAGTGTCCACACACCCAAGCCATCCCCTTAGGTCGAATTTATAAACGGAGTGTCCGCACACCCTAGCCATTATTTAGAAATAAGGAGCCGCTTATTTTGAAATCTGTACTCCTGCTTTTCTTGGGGAATAACGCTAATTTTGAAAGTGTGAGTGTAGATGCTTCGGTGCAGCTATTTTGAAATTACTACTCCCCAGAGTCATTCGAACTAATTACTCTCCAGCGCTTCCTGGGGCTCTAAGTCGAGGTATCGCACCCATATTAACGGAGCCTGCCTCAGACTAATTTTGAGGCTTCCCCATAGTGGGGACATGCTATTTCGATTTTGTAAAATTGGGAGTTAAGTCAAATTTCATTATTTCAGAATAGTTTTCTCGTGTGGGCATGGCCTGAATTACCATTCCCAGCTGAGGCCAGTGGATTTACTGCCTGCCTATGTAGGATTGCTTCCACTCTCTCACACTTGGCTCTAATAATTATACCCTGTACAAGAAAAGCTACAAGTGGTTTGGAAGGGTCCTGGGTAAATATCCTATTTTAAAGTGCAAATATGTGTGCTTGTAACTCCCCTCTCTGTCCATTTCTTACCACTGCCTTTTCTGATTCCTCTTATGCTGTTCCCATCCCTCTCTGTCTCCCACATACTCAGATGACTCCATTCTTCCCTTCTGCCACCTGTTTTCCTCCTCACTTCATTTCTCTCCCTAATTTGCTGCTGCCTCTCCAGTCCTTCCACTCCATTTCCTGAGACTCCCGCTCTCCTTCCCAGCAAAACCTTTGTCTCCTTCTGTTCCCTTTATTTTTAAAAAAATCAAACGCACTTTGAAGGCAATTCAGTACAGTGAAGAAGAAAATCAAATGCTTTACTTTTCCTCTCTCTTCCCCCTTCTTTGGAACTTTGGAAAGTTCTGTATCATCTGCCCGGTTGCTCACATCCACAGTATTATTTCTGACATTGCTACCACCTGAGACCCTAGCTAGCTGCTCCATTTTTCCTCATATTGCCTGCTGCACACAGTCCTTCTACACAAAATTTCAGTGACATTTTATGGCAAATTATACTGCCTGGAACATAGGTTTGGCACAGCAACCAAACACACACACTCTACAGGAATATAGTCTCTTGGATGTCTAGTGTAGCTTATTTTATTTGTGAGGGAAGGGCTGTGTTTGGGGTTTGTGGAGTTTTGTGAAGATGCTTTTTTGCACTCCTCATTGTGTATTCTTGTGGTTCTGCCTGTGCCTGGGTATGACAATGGTGGTGCATGTGGGTTTTTTGTTCTTGTTTGCATGTGTCTGTTTATGTGTATTTGTATGTGTGCTTACATTTGTAAGTCTAAGCTTTCGCAAAATGCATGGTCTATTACAAGTATCATGAGGTCTATTAATTGTTCAGGCTTAACAGAAAAAAGATCTTAAGTGTCGCCGTGGAGAGTTAATTTAAAATATGACCCGTGTCCATCTACGCTCATAAAAAGCAAACCAGATCATAGACCTTCTTAAAGATCTAATGAATACGACTGAAAATATCATCATTTCATTGTAGCAATTCACAATATGATGTAGTCTTGAATGCTCTCTTCACTTCTAGCCACACAACCTCAAAAAGGAGTTAGCCCAAATACACCAAGATTCCACAGAAAGTCAGTGAAAATGACTAGAGTCTTAGGACGATTTCCGTACAGGCAGAGATTAAAAAGACTAGGACTATATAGATCAGAGAGGAGACAAATAAGAAATGACATGATAAACATAGGAGCTGCCATACTGTGTCGGGCCATAATCCACCTTGCCCAATATCTAGCCTGGCAGAGGTCCATACCAGGGCTTCAGGAGGAGAACCCCATTATGGAGTGACCCACCCCATCGTCCTTTCCCAGATTTTAGTAGTCTGAAGCTTAGGGTTGCTCCACGCACAGGATTGCGTCCCTAACCATGTTGGCTAATAGCTGTTGATGGACCTATCCTTAGAGCTGTGCATGGATAAAAAATTTGTATCTGCATCCGCTCCTGGAGCCACAAAAATATCCACAGCTATCTGCATAGGGAATAAACGTCTATGGAGAAGTTAGTCCATAACTCTTCACTATCAATTTTCTCTTTCCTTCCTCCTACATATCGGGTACTGGTCACTGCCAAGACAGAATACAGGACTGGATGGACCACAGGGCCGATAGCATATGGCTATTGCTCTGTTGCTGTTGAGTTGAGTCAAAAACTTACCTCTCACGGTGCTGATAGTAAAGACGCCAAGCCAGAAAATGACCAGGATGCCCATTGCTTGGAGTTTCATTGCTGATGGCTTCCTTGGAGTAGCAGAGGAGAAAATGATAACTGGAGCCCCTTTCAGCGAGCTCTTATACTGTCTTTCAGTGGTCAGCTCACTTTCTCCACCCAATGAAAGGGGCGTCATGGAGGGGGGGGGGGTGTGAGTAGATATGGAAATTTTGAGACACACTCGGTCCTTTTTTTTTTAAAGGTACAGAAAAACTCCCCCCTTCCCTTCCTAGCCCCTTGAAGCTTTTTCCTGCCACAAAGCTGTGGTTGCTTTTTGTTAACATTTTCTAAGCATGTCTTATTTTAGTCTGAAAAAGTCACCTCTGTGCAGTGGAAACCACTAATGTTCCTGCCCCTTTGCTATATAGGCTATGCACGTTCGATGCTAAACCCCACCACATAGGCAAAAAGTGACTGTTCAGAGCTAGGTCGCTCTAGGACCACTTAAAAGGGGAAAATGAATTACAAGAGAGGAGGCTTTGCTAATGGAAAAAGGAATGAATTGGATTGCCCTTAGCAGGTGTATATCAGTGGTGGCTGTCACAATTCCCAGAGTACAATTTGGACTGATGGACACTTTTCTCCCCTCAATTTTCCAGCCTGGGATGCCTTTTACACTACTCCGCTGTGAGAGCAACCACCCCTAGTTTGCTCACCAGTGGCAGATTATCTCACAGGCCCCCAGGGCCTGAGCTCAGGGCCCCTGGCCAATTTAGGGTCCCCCTCAGGAGCAGGGAAACCTGTGTAGAAGTGGAGAGGCCACCAGCATGGGAGCTGTGGCCACACCATCTACTACTCCTCTTCCCCTAGGGCCTTTTCCCCTCCCTGTTGGGCCAGAAGCCGGAGCCAGGCTATAGTAAGAGCCACCCAGTGAGCCCAGGCCACTGTGGGGAGCCCTGGACTCTCCACAGCCATAGGCAAGGGGACAGGATGTCCAAGAGCAGCCCTCAGTCCGTGTCCCTGCCCACTGGTGTAAGGCCTGGGGCTCTGCAGTGACGCCTAGGCTTCCTGGGAGACTCTTACCACTGCCTGGCTCCAGCTTCTGGCCTGGTCAAGAGGCATAGGCCTCAGGGGGAAGATGAAGCAGGGCTCCCTGTAGCCAGACAGGAACCCCCTTGTAACATCCCTTTTTGCTTGCCTGGAGCATACAGGGCACACAGAGCAGAAGGCCCAGGCTATGTGACCGTGAATGGCTGTAAACAGAGATACGCCAATTGCTGACCAAGAGGCTGCCAAGGAGTGCCCTTGACTTAACCCATATTGATACGAACACACAGCCGTCTGCGGTGGGAGGAATCTCTCGCCCAGTAAAAAAATGTCTAGTACTCACAATTTAGTTATCTCTCTTGCAAGTGTAAATTAACTTGAAACTTGCTTGTAAGAACTGGCGCCACAAAACGGACCAGTAGAATTTGGCCTCTTAGATAAGAAAGAAGATACGGGCCCCCAGGGGTATAAAGATGGGTCCAGCAGCACATTTATTCTGAGTGTCAATCTACCATCTATCTGCTGGTCAGGTTAGGTGTTTGATCTCCCGAGGTTCCACGGGGACGCCCACCTCGTATTCGTCTTTCCTAGGAATTGAGAGACCGGCCCTGGCCTGACACGCTGGAGTCGAGAGGCACAGAAAGGGGTAAAAATTGTACCTGGATGTGGTCCTTTGTTTAAGTATATATATACATAGTGTTAGAGTTCTTTAAAGATTAAGCTGTCAATTGGTACCATTATTTCTATTTTCTATCTTTACCTTTTTTTTTCCTGTAACCATTTTTAAGACCTATATATTTTCTAGCATTTAAGAAATAGAGCAATAGCCACTGTAACCATATGATTTATAAGCTTCTTTAATAAACCTGTAACTGTTTAAGCTTTAACCTGACTCCTTCCGTTTCTGTAACAGAACCAAGCACAATTTAAAAGAACTTCAGCCAGTCATAAGGGACAGGTATAGGAAGAGCTTGGGCGTTTGGATTTGTGTCACTTCCAGGTGACAGATCCGTTGGGGCATCTCTGTCTTTCCTAGGCTGCCCGCTGCGAAGGGATCTTGTATTCTAGCAGCTAAAATCTGAGGTGTAATAAGCTCTTCCTATAAAAAGGGGCGTCTGTTGGCCTGCTGGCTACCCTCTGCGAAGGGACCCCGGTCCTAGCAGTAAAGACACGTACGTTAAACCTTTTCTCGGAAACACACACACACACTGCCCCGACCGTCGGCTGACACTCCCCTGCCACAAAGCACTGTCCCTGCTAATGCCATTCTGTGCTTGCCTGAGGCTACTATGCCCATGTTAAAAAGGGTGTGTGCATGGTTCCCCTGACTCTCTTCCAGCTCTGCCATTCCTGGGTCCCCAAGGTATAGGACCCAAATGTTCTTTGTACCCAGGGCCTCAATTAATCATAATCTACCTCTGCTGCTCACACGCAGACTCCAGCATGTAAATCACTCCTAGCTTTTTTGTATACGTACTGTACCCAGCTACACATAAATTACACTGCAGGGAAACACCAGTAAACTCCCAGTCCCAGACTTTCCCCCAGAAATATATGTCTCGTGCTGCCTAACACCTTCCTGGACAACACAAGCTCACATAAAGTCTGTCATTCCCTTACTAGAAAATGATGTGCACAAATCCTGTTATCCCAAATGAAGTTTCTCAAACATTTCAGTCCAAACACATTGGTTTAGATAAAACAAAAAAGCAAGTTTATTAACAACAGAAAGGTAGATTTTAAGTGATTACAAGCAATGAGGCATAAGAGTAAAAATTGGGGTATGTCAAAGGGTATGTCTACACTTGCCCCCTACTTCGAAGTAGGGAGGCAAATGTAGCATACCGAAGTTGCAAATCAAGCCCGGGATTTAAATATCCCGCGCTTGATTTGCATGTTCCCGGCCGGTCGCCATTTTAGAAATTCACTTACCCGGAGTAACTGCCTGCTTCTACACGCAGCAGTGAAACGGGAGTCCGATTTAAAGCCCCTAATTCGAATTAGCTGGTATTCCTCCTACAATGAGGTTTACCAGTTAATTCGAATTAGGGGCTTTAAATTGGACTCACATTTCACTGATGCATGTAGATGCGGGCAGTTACTCTAGGCAAGTGAATTTCTAAAATGGCAACCGGCCGGGAACATGCAAATAAAGCACGGGATATTTAAATTCCGGGCTTGATTTGCAACTTCGGTATGCTACATTTGCCTCCCTACTTCGAAGTAGGGGGCAAGTATAGACATACCCAAAGAAAATAAAAGGTAAAATGTAATTCATATTTAATTTAACAAGCTAAATCAATTCAAAGCCAAGGTTTCTGGCACCATATGTTACAGCAGTCTTACTGGCTAGAGTCCTTTCAGCTCAAGCCCTCTACCCAGTTCAATGTTCATTTGCTTGTCTTTCCAGTACTGTTGATGCTATGGGCAGAAGGCAAGGCAGGAGTATTTGGAAGGTATCTATTCCCCCTCCTTTTTCTTTGAAAATCATCTCTAGCTGAGGTGGGGGAGACCGAAGATCCAGGGTAGTGGGAATCTCCAACTGAGTCTTTGCCAAAAATGTAGATTACTCACTCATACCCTCTTTCCTGCCTAAGCATGGCCACTTAACCAGGTGATAGTTGACACTTGGCAGAGGCATCAATTTACTTTTTGGCTTTGAGGAACTGGTTTATGCCTGCTTTTTTTAAAAACTTGGAACATGTTATAGAGTAGACTATTATAACTTTATATACAATGTTGCCACACTTATTTTACCTAGACAATAATTATCAGCAAATTATGAGTTTTCAAATAATACTTCACAACACATGCTTTATATAAAATCTATTACAGTTGCATAAATAGGGTGGCCAATAAAACAGCAATGGATCATCAGGGGTAGCCCCTGGTGGGCTGCTGCTTTTATATTTACCTGCACCTCCACAGTACCAGTGATCACTTGGCCATGGATCACTATTCCCCGCTCATAAGAGCAGTGGGAAGCGGTGCAGACCAGAACACCGCTTCATGCAGATTATTGACCAGGAACAGTGATCCACAACCAACAGGAGCTGTGATTACTCATCTCTACAGAGGCACAGGAAAATATAATGATGGGGGATCCCTTCAGAGGCTAACCCTGGCAGACCAGATCTGGCTCATGGATCGGTATTTGCTCACCCCTGCCCTACAAGCACAGGCCTGAGACTGACATCCATAAGGGTTTGGGGCATGTCGACAGAAAGAACAAATAGTCAAAGGCCTCATCCTCAATTTATAAGATGCAAGTAACTCCATTAGCCTCCAGATATGATACCCATGTCCGGTGTGGGCATATCTGGACAACAGGCTATAGTCTAATCTTGTAGGCAATGGGTCCTATTTTGACAGAAGCAGTTTCTAATTTGGTGTCATCACGATAATGGTTGTGTCAGTCATTATCAGATTTCTCACTCCGTCACACAACACGTAGTCAACCTGTGAAACTCATTCTCAGGGGATGTTGTGAAGGCCAAAACTATAACAGGGTTCTAAAGGGACTTAGATAAGTGAATGGAGGAGAGGTCCACCCATGGCTATTATCCACAGGGCTCGACAAATCCGCAGCAAGTAGATTTCAGCCAGTCGCCCCGTTCACTGGCGGTTCGCTCATGCGCAGTGTGGCTCTCGTGCATGCGCAGTGCGGGGCTGGCAAGTGGTTTTCACCGCGATCGTCGAGCCCTGATTATCCAAGATGGCTAGGGATGCATTCTGGCCATCCCTGGACGCTGACTGCCAGAAGCTGAAAGTGGGCAATGGGTGGGAGGAGTGGGGGTGAATCACTCAGTAATTGCCCTGTTCTGCTCATTCCTTCTAAAGCACTTGGCATTGGCCCTGTCAGGAGACTGGATACTGGGCTAGATGAACTACAGGTCTGATCCAGTATAGCCATTTTTATATTATGTTCAATATAGTCTGAGGCATCTCTCCTTCATGAGAGATAGCAGACGCGTAAGGGACCAGTGCCAGGTTAGAGTGGCTTTAAAGACTTTTAGGAATCGTTTCTGTCACGGTTC